ATATATATATATATATATATATAATTTTCAGGAGGCGAACAGAACTCAGAAGCTCTTCGCCGCTCTCTCAATCTTCACCGCGACCGCAAATGGCCAAGCGATTGATCCCCTCTTTGAATCGCATTCTGGTGGAGAAGATGGTTCCTCCTTCGAAGAGCAACACCAGCATCCTTCTCTCGGAGAAAACCAGCAAGCTGAACCCTGAGAAAGTTGTGGCTGTTGGGCCTGGAACCCGTGATAGAGAGGGGAATCTTATACCTGTAGCCGTGAAGGAAGGAGATGTTGTTCTTGTGTTTGACTATGGCGGTACTGAAGTGAAACTCGGAGAGAAAGAGTTCCACCTTTACCAAAAATAATGATGAGAGGTAGAGCCAAAATTGATGAATTGGGTGGCATGAATCTATCATTTTGTTTTGTTTCTTGTATGAAACTGGATTATTATCATTATCATTGCGCAAACTTGAGAGAAATGAAATTTTCATGGCACAGTGTCTTGTTTTGAGCATAATATATATATATATATATATATATATATATTATATATATATATATTGTTCTCCTCATCATGTCACTAAGTTGGCCCAATCTCATACAACTCTTCTTGAAGCTATTTCTTTGGAAGAAGATCCTTTACAGCAAAAAGCAAATGATATTTATTTTACTTGTGGAGATCACAATACAAAATTCTTCCATGCCTCAATTAAGCATAAAAGAAATTTGAACACTATTCTTAAAATTAAATCACCTGATGGGAAGCTTCTAACTGATAAAGATGAGATTGATAATTATGTTATGGATTATTTCTTTAATTTGTTTCAAGCTACTACGCAGGCTTAGCCTATTGATTCTGATTTATTTGTTGGGGACGGGAGTTTCTCTCCAACATATCTCTTTCTGATATTACTTTGGAGCAGGAGATTCTCTCTGTGTTTAAGCAAATCATTTCTAAAAAGGCTCCTAGTCCGGATGGTTTCACTGTTGTTTTCTATGTACCTTCTTGGGATATCATCAAACATGAAGTTATTCAAGCCATTCAAAGCTATTTTCAGGGTGATGATACAAGGAAATTTTTTACTTCCTCTCTCATTGTACTCATTCCTAAGGGTAATAACAAAATTAATTGGGATAAATTTAGATCCTTATCCCTCACTTCTGTTATCTCCAAAGTAAATAGCAAACAGCTTGTTTCCAGATTACAACCTCTTCTCACAAATATTATCTCGCAGCAGCAATTTGCATTTATAAATGGGCGTGAGATAACTGACAATATCTTACTCGCGCAAGAACTTCTGGAAGATTTTGACAAAAAAATGTCGCTTGTTCTTAAACTTGACATTAAAAAGGTTTTTGATACTAATAGTTGTGATTTCATCATTAATATTTTGCAGGCCCGTGGTTTTCAAAATAATTTCTGCTCTTTAATCCGAAGATGGCTGGAGAATAATCACTACTATGTCCTTGTCAATGGTAATTCTTATGGTTTCTTCTCCACTCTTAGGGGTATCAAGCAAGGTGACCCTTTATCCCATATTATTTTTATCATAACTTTTGACTATTTCTCTCGTTTAATTAATCAAATACAGATGAGTAAGCCATATACTCAATTCTCTCATAAATCAACGATTTTGGTTAGCCATTTGACTTATGCGAATGATGTCATACTTTATGCTAATGCTAGTAAATCTGTTATTAAAGCCCTTATACAGGTTCTTGATATTTTTCAAGATACTTCTGGTTTATATTTCAATAAAGAGAGATGCAATCTATACTTTGAGAAATTTGTTAATAGATCCACTGCCACTTATGCAGTATCTTACATTGGTTACCATGCTGCCTCTTTGCCTCAAAAATATTTGGGCGATAATTTGCTTTGGGGTCGTTGCAAACAAACACATTTAAATGAAGTGGCGGATAAAATCAAGCATAAAATTAATGACTGGAGGAAAACTTCTCTCTCTAATGGTGTACGAATCACCCCACTATAAAGTGTCTTATTGAGCCTTTTTTTATATGCATTACAAATTTTGAATCTTAAAAAGAGCATCAAGATCGTCTTGGAGAGACTGTTTAATCGTTTTCTTTGGTCGGGCACACAATCTACGAAACATTGGGCTACTTTCTTTAAGCTTTGCAAGCCAATATCCGTTGGGGGTTTAGAATTTAAGAGTTTGAAAAAAAATTTTGATATTAATATGTGCAAGCTTTTGTTTAAATTTCGTGCTAAGAGTTCTTTATGGGCTTGATTCCTCCCTCATAAATAATGTGCTTATTTAGACTCGACCATTATTCAATGGAAAGTTGGGGACTCAAAACTTTGGAAAGCAATCCTTAAAGCTAGATTGGTGGCAAGTAACTTTTTTTTTGTATATTGGAGAGGGTAATATCTCTTTTTGACATGATCAATGGGGTTTGGGAGACTGAATTTTAATTGCCCAATCACCACTTAACAATAACTTGCTTAGTTCTGATTGTTGGCTTGATATGAATTGGGATGTTAACAAATTGTATGCTCTTATAGGTGAAAAAACTACTCAATTCTCTAAAATTCCTATAAAAATGAGATCCAAGGACGCTCCATTTGGAAAACTTCATCTTCTATCTCCTCCGCTAAATTGCTTTACTCGAGTCTCTACAGTTATGGTAATTGGCATTGGGGAAAAGATATATGGAATGCATTTCTTTCTCCTTCCATCTCCTTCTTCCTTTGGAGATACTTCCTTTGGAGATATTTTCTGCTACCCTTTGATGACATTCTTAAACTAAAAGGTTTCAAGTTTGCTTATCAATGTTACCTATGTAAAAAGAATGAGGAATCTGCAGTGCACCTATTTTTTCAATGTTCTTATGCCAGAGAAGTTAGGTATGCTTTGGACCAGCATTTTCATTTAAATTGATTGAATAGAACCTCTATTAAAGATTATCTCCTTTCTTGGAGAGCTGCTGCTCTGGTGGATAAAAAATTTGCTTGGTTTCGTTTGGTGGTTATATGGTTTATTTGGGTGGCCAAAAATGATTATAAATATCAAAATCTTGGTTTGGCTCCATTTACTATTGTTTCATATACTCTTGCTTATTTCCATCGTGCTTGTCGTATCTTTGGCCTGGGAGGAGCTATGTCTCAACCTCGTGTGGGTAGGATGACCACTTTGATTAGGTGGCTACCCCCTCCTTCGGGTTGGATCAAAGTTAATATTGATGGAAGCTGGGCTTCCACGTCGGCTGGTGTTGGTGGGGTTTTTCGTAATCACTTTGGCCACAACCTTTATTTTTTTGTTTCACTGATAATTGTCTCTTCTCCTTTAGAGGCCGAGTGATGGGCCTTTTTATTGTCTTTGCAGGTTGCAGTTTCCTGTAATTTTTCTAATCTTATTGTTGAGACTGATTCTCTTACCCTTTACAAGGAATTTGATGTGGCATCCATACCCAAATGGAATTTGTTAGGTACTTGGAACAGAATTAGAGAGCTTATTGATAAGTATAACTTATCAATTTGTCTATCCTAAATTTTTTGTGAAAGTAATTCCCCTGCTGATTGGTTGGTTAAGAAAGGTAAAGATGCGGGTAGCCTTTTCGTTGATGTTACACCACTGCAACATTTAAAATGTCTCTGACTTGGAGACTCTCTGGATTTGCCTTTTATTAGAGTTTGACTATGGAGTGTTGTAATCATTATTTTATGGTTTTCTGTTGCTCCTCAGATGTTGTTGGTTCGCTCTTTCAGTTGAGGCCGAGGCATGGTGTCCTCTGTCATTTTAATGAGCCCCTTGCTATAATCATTTGCGATTTTGAAACCTGGGGTTTTCTACCTAGATTTGAGTGTGCTGGGATGGTCTATCATTTGTTCACCGGAATCTGGGAGGATTATGTGCTTCCTGGACCTTTTTTGTGATGATTTTCATTGTTATCCATTTGTTTCACTTTGTTTTTAGCTGCAGAATTTCATATTTACATTTGTGGACACAGATGAAGAGACTTTCTGTTTTTTATTTTGGTTCTCTAAATATTCTTCTATGCTTTCATTACTCCACTGTTACTATATTACTAGGAGGACCCCCCTTTTTTGGTTCCTTTTGAGCATGCTTGCGGGTTGCTGATCCCAACTGTTTATATGCAACAATATAATAATGTATTTGATTATATTTTTCACTTATTTTTTCTTACTTTGCAACAATACCAAAAACTTGATCCTAAGAAAATAAGAATTTAACTTTTTAACTTTATATATATATATATATATATATCTTAGTATTTTGTTTAATAATTGTTCTAAATATTAGGAAATAGTAATAATTTAGAATCCTACAAAGTCTTATATATCATAAATCAAGACAAATATTGATATTGGAAGAAAATTTGGAAATGAATTAAACCAAATATGAAACAGACACAACTATGGCTATAGCGCCATGGACGCCCTTTTACAGAAGCCATGGAGCTGACAGCGCCTGAAGCAGTTTCGGCCGGTCAGGGAAAAAACTTACTAAAAATAACTTGAGTTTATGTAAAAGAAAAACAATAAATACAAAATATCTTTCTCCTTATCATGAATCAGTAATAAGTATAAAAATTCTGTTGTGGAAGTATTCAAATTGTGTTGTGCCAAATAGGAGCAATATTACTTCTTACCCTTACTAGAGATGCTATAAAATACAATGGTTAATTTAAAGAATGAATAGCTCTTAAGACGAGCTAGGTAGGGAAGATACTAACCCTCACTCTAGAGTTCCCTCTTTTTCATCCACATAGGGGCTAACTTTTCATATCAAGACCTAAAATAATAGACTGAATGCTTGTCACTCTAAAGTTCTATAACTCTACACCCTTCAAAAATTATATCCTTATTTATTTGCACTCAATCATATGAACTACATTCTCATTCATACAATCTTATGTGATTCTTTTCAATTGTTGACTGAAAAAAATACCATCCCAGTTCATACATGTTATCACAACAAATTTTAACATCTTGATGGGCCAGATCAAGAACTAAATGAAGTGCATGGAATTAAATCATCACAACTTCTTCCAACACATTAAAGATCAATACTCCACACAACTTCCATCCAACACTTTAGTTATCATTTTAAGGAGAAAGATAAAGAAAACTACTAAGAATCTATGGAAAAAACAAAACCGCACTTTAGTTTAAAAATAAAAATCATTGTCAAACCAACATGAAGTCTCAATTAAAACCAAAAGTTAGTTTAAAACAAAGATAAAAACTTATCTCCTGTCTCAAAAAGAGCTTTATTTTTCTTGATGTTCATTTGAATCTCTTCTCTCTTACACACTTTTAACTCTCAAATTAAAACTATAAACAAAAGGAAAATAAATTTGTGGTGCCTAAAATTTTCTT